TATGGTTAATTTTTGTATAAAATAATGATTTGGAATTGGTTATATATATATATATATGATGTTATTGGTCAGTTGTCAGTTGTAAATTATTTTGGTTATGATACTATTTTTTTATTTTTTTTATTTATAACACTTTCTACCACGGTTACCATTACCGTGGTAAAAAGCCTTTCTTTCTACCACGGTTCCCCACCGTGGTAGTAAGAAAGACTTTTTACCACGGTTTTGCACCGTGGTAGAAAGTAGTTCTACCACGGTACAAAACCGTGGTAGAAAGTCTATACTTTACTACCACGGCTGTTTCTACCACGGTTCAAAACCGTGGTAGAAAGCCTTTTCCACCATGGTAAAAAGTCATTTTTCTTGTAGTGGCCACTGACTGTCAGACCCTTGTCCAGAGGATCACAACAAGAATCCATTGTTGCAAATCAAGATTTTTATCCTATGCAGGAAGAGTTGTCCTCATCAAGTCAATCCTCTACTCTATCCAAGCCTATTGGGCTCAGTGTTTTAGACTTCCTGTGAAGGTTATTGACCAAATTAATCAAATTTTGAGATCCTTTTACTGGTTTGGTATTGATATGAAGAAGAAAGGGGAAAAAGTTGTTTGGTCCTCTATTTGTCGACCAAAGAAGTTTGGTGGTCTTGGATTTTCTTGTGTTGATATGACAAATAGAGTTGCTAGACTCAAGTTTCTCTGGAAGTTGTGTGCCAAGAAGGAGAGTCTTTGGGTGACTTGGACTCATAGGTACTTGATTAAGAACAAGTCTATTTGGATTGTGAAAGCTACTACAGTAAGTTCAGGGTTTTGGAGGAATCTACTTAAGCTAAGGGATATGGGAAGGGGCACAATTAAACACAGAATTGGGACAGGGAAGGACACAATGCTTTGGTTGGACTATTGGTTGCCAAATGGACCCTTAACCACTCAATTAGGCCTCACTGATGTGGAAATTCTTCAACTGAACACACAAGTCTCAATTAATAGCCTAATTTCCAACAATCAATGGGCCATTCCTCCTCACCTACAGCACATACCCTTCCTACAGTCCCAATTTTTTTTATAATCAATTACAATCCCTTCCATCCCCATCAGCTTCTCCTGACTTGATTGATTGGTTGCCATGTCCTACAAAAGGTTTCTCTCAGAAACATTCCATGGGTTACTTCAACCGTCCCTCTGTATCCTTTCCCTGGCATCACCTTATTTGGTTTAAACACCATATCCCTAAGCATAGCCACATAGCATGGATGGAAATGAGAAAGAGATTGTACACTTTGGACACTAAACCAATGTTGAACAAGCATTATACAAATGCTTGTTACCTTTACCTTTCTGATTGGGAATCATTTGACCACCTCTTTTTTAATTGCACATATAGTTCAGCCATTTGGAACTTCATCCAGCCTGCAGCTGGCTTTTACATTCAACTCACCTGCTGGCAGGACCTTATTACCTCGTGTAGTTGCAATTGGACTCAAAGACACTTTATAACACAAAAACTTCTGCTTGCTGCGGCAATATACTTCATATGGCAGGAGAGGAATGCAAGGGCATTCAGAAACATTTCTTCATCACCACAGCATACCATATCTCTCATCAAGAGCACAGTTAGAGCTAGATTTGCCTCTATCATGCTCAAGACTGGTCATGAACTAAGAAAATTGGACTCCTTAGAAGATCTCCATCAATTGTTTTTGAAGGGATGCACATTTGCAGGGGGTCATTCATGGTGTATTATGGACTAGCAGCTACATTATGTAGGGGTTGAATGATGATGAGTTCAGTGCTCAGTATGGTCTTGCTGGTGCAACTCGGATCTCTTCTTCTCTTTGACTGTTATTATGATGTCATATGAGCTACATGAATTATGGATCTATAGGCTGATGAGTGTTGTTGCTTCAATGTTTTGCCTTCGGCACAGTTTTCTGAGGGTAATACTAGTCTATTCATAGAAGTGCCAGGTAGTTTGTTTGTTGTATTGGTTGGGGTTGTATTGGTTGTTTACTTGTTGATCACTTGGTTGATCATGTGACTACCTAATAGTCTTTGGCCTTGGCTTGTAATTAATGTCCCTTGTTGGACCTCCTGTACATTATTCTTCTTATTTATTCAAAGCTTACCTTTTTACCTAAAAAAAAAAAATCACAAAACAAACTTGGTTGATATATATATAATTATTATATATAGACGGTTTGTGCAAGCAGGCATGTGAAGAGACGAAGCATAGGCAAGGTCTGAAAAACAAATTTGAATAATGTAGCCGCACTATATATATATAATTATTATATATAGACGATTTGTGCAAGCAAGCATGTGAAGAGACAAAGCACAGGCAAGGCCTGAAAAACAAATTTGAATAATGTAGCCGCACTAGAAGCTTTGTTAAGCTTTTATTAATTATAAAAGAAATACATACATCATAACTATTACACACACAATATCACAACCACTCTTATTGTAAACACGAAATACTTCATAAACATTACACACATCTAGCATCACAACGGCTCTTATATATAATAGAAGAACTACTTCACAACCATTAATTACCCACGTACGTAGTAATTAATTAGACACCTCTGTTTTAGGATTTGAGAAAGTGAGCATGAACATCTTTAGCCACATCAACTAGGAAGTCCATGTATTTCTGTGGAACTGGAACATCTTCGTTTAGTTTCTCATAATCTATAGTAAATTTCGCAATCGATGTCTTCCCCTTCTCAGTAACATGCCAGCTGGCCACATAGCTCTTGTACAGATCCATCACACGTCCTTCCACTGCCTTCACAGACATGCAGTGTACGTTTTGTTTGCTTCATCTATTGTCAGTATCTCCTTCATGTATTCCTCCTTCCCATCTACATTGCCACAAAAAGAAAATCAAACCAACAATGATGAAGACAGAAGTTGAAGTGAACCGGTATATGTGATTTGTCGGTGATTTCACATATTCAGAATTTAAAAACCATCCGAGCTAGAGATCAAAGTGACTAGTGGACAAATTAATTAAAGTGCTAGTTGTCATTTATACTTGCATGGAAAAAGGTAAGTTTAACGATACCCAACAACCAACTGTAAGTAGGAGTTGGGTGTGAAGTGGTGGAACGGTGAACCCTACATCCAATTCCCACTCACAGTCTGATGTTTGGCAAGTGTATAATTACTCATACCTACAACGTAAGTCCAGTGTCTGATGGAGCCTTCAAACCCCCAATCACCTTCATGCATCTGCACTTTTGGTATTCTTTCAGCACAGGCGTTTGAAATAGAGTGTGATTTACCTCCAAAGATATGGAATATCTCCTCAACATTAGACTAATCGATCTCTACTTCAGCCTCTAACTTACCAAGAAGAGCCATAGCAATTTTTTTTTCGAGAAAAACACACAAACTTAGCAAATTATGCAGTTATAAAAAAAGGAGGTACTTGAAGAAATGACCTTGCCATTGACCCTTATATAGAGCTGCCATGACCCTTGAAATGGAATGACTACTATTATCCTATCCAAACAACCTACTTTATCAATATGTTTAAGTTCCGTTTGAACACCGACGTTTGAGATTGGAATTGGAGTAAATCTAGTTAAGAAATTTAACTAATTTTTTTTCAATTTCAAATCTAAATAGCTGATTTAGTGTTCCCAAAATGTAAGATGACATGATTCATCTGATGCTATGTTTGGCGGCACCGAATTCGAGTTTTAAATTTAGAATTAGAAAAAATTTAGCATAAGTTTTGAATCAAACTTCTTCCAATTTCAAATCCAAATATCAATTCGGTGCTCCCAAATATAAAATGAATTTATTTCACTATTCCATCATTGAACTAGACATGCATGTTACACGTTCACAGATACATCATAATGTCCCTTCCTTTTGTTTACAATAGTGCTAGCCACGAAGCCACTGGACCCTAAGCTAGTCTACCCGTGGTTGATTGTGCTCCATACAAATTCCTTTCAAAATCCCATTTGTGTCACTGCAGATATACTTTGCTATCCTGATAATAAACATAGTGGCTTTAGATTTAACTAAAAGTCAAAAGGAAAATGTGGCTTTAGATGTAAAGGATAAGGATAATTATTTGCTAAAAGTAGAAAGTAGCTTTAACGTGGGGTTTCTTGTCATACATATGATAAACGTTTTGATTTTATTGTGTTGGTCATTTTTTAAAAAAATTATCTCATTTTGTTTTTTTGTCATGCAAATGGGCAATTAATTATTAAGGATTATTATTTGCTATTGTTTCTTATGTTTTTCAACAACTTACTAAAGGTAGAGATAGAGATTCAGCTAATTAATTGATACACTTATTAGAAATCAGCTTTATTAATATTTATTTGAAAATATAATTTAACAAATCAAATAGAAGATATTTTAAATTTCAGTATTCAAAATTGCGGCATGTAAAAAGAAAAAAAAGTTCTCTCTGTTACCAATCCCATAACAGTTTTTAGACTGCCATTCTAAAATTTACCATGGTAACAACAAAGACATAAAGGAAAAAGCGATTTGTATTTTTATTTTTTTGATACTTACCTTTTATTATTGAAATTATTTCTGACTTTATATTAAAAGGAAAGTATGTATGTGATTTTATTGTTGTAATTAGTGGTATTGGTAAATTTTAAATTTAAAAGTTATAAATAGCTATACTGGTTTTATATTAAAAGGAATGTATATAAGTGGGTTTGAAGTTCGACTATTAAATTTAATCTAATGATCACTACATAAAGTGTAGAAGAATTTTCTTAGTTCATGATGAGTAAGAAATCATTACTGTTATTGACACTAATACACATTGAAATTAAGTTGTACTCTTATTCTTCTTAAGTAATTAATTAATTAATTAATCAGGTGATGACTGTAGAATATACATAATACTAAAGAAATGATTGAATAGTGTCATTTGAGCAGGAACAGTAAAAATAAGCGCGCATGAGTATATCTTAAGGTGCGCACTACAATGTGTCACATTAAAAAATTGATCGACCAGAATCTACTATATAAAGGCCAAAGGGCCAAAGTACGTTCTCCCACATCTTGCCTCCATTGCCTCCATTTCTGCTCTGTAAACACTTGGTTAGTTCTTAGAATAATTGCAAAGAGTCGATGGCTCTTATCGGTAAGCTGGTAAGCCAAACAGAGATCAAGTCCGATGGTGATGCGTTTCATGAAATGTTCAAAAATCCACACCGCATATCCAACATCTGCCCTGGTAAAATTAAGGCTGTTGATCTGCATGAAGGTGATTGGGGAACTGTAGGCTCCGTCATCAGCTGGAAATATGTCCATGGTAAGGGCAACACCATTTCTATATATTATATATACACAACACAAATACACACGTAAACATGCTTACCGAAAATATATATATATATATATATATATATATTATATATGTCAAACTTAATTATCTCACTTCTTCAGTTTTGTTTCGGATCTCCATTTCACTGGCCTCTGGCTTATACGAGTTAGAATATATGCATATTAGTAATTCACACAATTGTTAGAAATTGTGAATGAAAATTGTTTGATTAGTCATCGATAGATGTCTTGGACTGAACAGGTGCGATTATTGATTAGTTAAAGGATGAAAAGATGCAACTCAAAACTAACAAACATAATTATTCATGTGAACCATTGCAACCTATTGGAGTGTATGTGTCTATTGGTAAACAGACACCATGTGAACCATTGCAACTAATTGGAGTGGATGTGTCCAGTGTGAAGAGACACATATAAATGGTTGTGTCCAATGACGAAGAGACACACCCAATCCAAAAAGACACATTCTATAAAAACAACTTTTTAGTTTTTTCTAAAGGGTTGCAACCACCCGAAAAGGCACCTTGTTGCCTATAAATACCCCATTCGAATCATTTGCAAATCGTTCATTTTCATTTTCTTCTATCTCCTTCTTTAGACTTGACCCAACCCAAGTGGGTTCAAACCATAGGTTAAGTGGTCCAAGCCACTTGGACCCTAATCAAATTTTATCGAGCCATGTTAAGATTAGTCCGAACCATTTGGTTCGGATTGCACCCAATTCTGCATTTATATAGTATATATAGATTTTTTTTTTTTAGTCAGAGAGAGTATTAAACGGAGGAGGTTCGTCGTATCCACGAGTTTGTAGTGCTGCTACTAGTGGATGTAGGCCGTTATATCCAGGGAGATAGACGCCACTGAGTCCGTTAGTATCATAGCTGGTCGAATCTGTCTTAAGGATATAGTATCCAATACTAGCCTCGGTTCAGGTTTTTTATTTATTATTATTATTTTATTGCTTTAATTTGCATGCTTAATCAAATATTTAGTTGAATATTTAATTAATTATTTTAACATATTATAAATATCTTATGACATATTAGCATATGGTTAATTATATCTTAAATATCATTTGAAGCATATATTTTACCAATAATCTTAAGACATATTTACGCCTTGTATAGATTTTATTATATGCTTCTATTTAATATATAAACAAGTAGAGATTATATTAATAATTGAGAGATAATAAAATATTATTATATGATAATATGCTAAATATTGATGTGTTCAATATTATGTAAAATTGAAGCATGTTATATAAATAGATTATTGAATTATTTATATAATTCTACATTGGTTGAATTATTTTAATTTTGTAATATGATATTATGAAATATATTACATTACTTTAAACATGTGCCGACTAGAGGTGGAAAAAGGTACTTCGTTACTTTTATCAATGATTGCACAAGATACTGTTATGTAGATTTGCTACGAAGCAAAGATGAAACCTTAGAGATGGTTAAACATTATTAAAAAAAAGGTTGAGAATTAATTTGGCAAAAAGATCAAGGTATTAAGAAATGATGAATGCTATATTGATAAGTTTTAGTTTAACTCAGAATTTGTGGGGAAAAATTTTGCTTTCCGCAAATTATATTCTTAATATAATACCTCAAAAGTAAACAAATGTGTCACTATATGAATTATGGAAAGGTTGAAAACCTTCCTATAAATTCTTAAAAGTATGGGGGTGTCTATCTAAGGTTGCAGTTCCTACTTCTAAGACAGTTAAAGTGGGACCTAAAATGTGGCGATCTTGTAGGTGAGTGTGTCGTGGACAGGTGCAAGAGGCACTGACAAGCTACCACACTGGGTAAGCTACAAGTGCACAGTCCCACATCGCTTAGGTAAGGGAAATGTGAAGTGATTTTATGTGGTGGTGTTATCTCTAATTGATATGTAGCATTTTCGTGATAAAACCTAAAAACAAAACCATGCGGGCTCGAGCCCAAAGCAGACAATATCATACCATGTGGTGGAGTGAATCGCTACTTAAAACTTTTGATAGGTTATGTTTATAACAGTAGTGCATATCGTTTTCTTATGCATAAATCATAAAATGAAAATAAGGAAGAGCTTAGACGTAGCAAGAGGGTTACAATGTCTAAATCTTTTGGTCCTGATTTTCTAGCATGTTTATTAGAGAATGAGTCACAAAGCTTTAAGGAAGCAAAGTCTTCTTCTGAATATTATTATTAAATTATTTTTTAGATTAATTATGTGATATAATTAATCATGTGACATAATATTAAACTTTATTGTTATGCAAGTTCAATATTATTTTTATAAATGTTTACTATAATATTGAACTGTAGAGTTGAATTACTTAGCATGCATAGTAATTCAATTTTACAATATAATTTATTTAATGTGTGATATTATATTTGTACTGGTTCATGACTAGTTTGTGTATGTAATACAACAAACAAAAATTGACTAGTCCAGCTACGTCAATTCTTCCGATAGTCAAAGGAAAAGATCTATATTAGTGTCTAAGACATGTATAGCTGTGAATGGGTTGAATAATAGAGAGATTTTCAATAACTCTAAAAAGGTCAATGGAAAATGTTATGAATACATTAAGCTAGTACACTAAGACAAGCTAAATAAAGTTAGTTAAAAGCTAAAATATTACTGAGTTGCAAACTAGTTAGCTTAGCTATAAACTAAAATGATTAATGATGTGCACAGAACCTAAAAGGAAGAGGAAAATTTGTTAATTGGTTCTAGTTCTAACTTGATAGTAAAAAACATGAGGGTGATGAGTACGTAGCCATTTTAGTCATAAGCTATTTAAGCTATATATCATATTTGCTCATGTAGGAGGGAATAATACTACTTATAAAGTGGTAGTTTTTTAAGAATATTCTTCAAAACAAATTACTCTACTACCAAGGTAGACTACTTAGATAAGTGTGTACTAAAGCTATGAGCTACTAGAATTGATAACTGAGTAAAATTAACTTCAAGCTAGTGGTAATAGTAGAGAAGTGAGTGCTCATCATAACCTAGTAGAGGCAAATATTAATTAGAACACAATCTAATTAATATCTCTAACATTAATTCACAATAATATCAGTGAATTATTATAATAATAAGCTAGAGATAAAGTGATAAAGTGAGTACATATGCACTAGAGACTGTTATACATACTTGTTGAGAAGCGGATATAGAACCTTGAAAAAGTAGATCAGGTGAAGTATTTAATATATGGTACTTCCAGAGTTGGAAAATCATAATAAATACATCAGAAATAAAATTTCAGGATTATCCCAAAGTTGTAGGGAGATATTATGTATTGATGAAATTTGTTACAAATCACCTCATCTTAAGAGAAATACTTATAAATGTGGGGGGGGGGGGGGGGTTCCAAAGCCTAATAGTTTTAGGATAGAACTAAAAATCATTTATAGTATTATAACAATAATGCATGTTGTTTCCTATGAGAAAAATATTATGGAACAACTAGAAGAGTTCTATTTCTAACTAAAAAGCTTAATTATTTTATTCCAGTTGAAAAGTCAAGTGTGCAAGCTTATAAATCCTTGAGTGGATTAAAGCTACTACCGAGATAATGACATAAATGTAATGCATAAGTCATTATATGCCTTAAAAAATTAATGATATACTAATGATATATTTGATATGAAAGATTTAACATCTGATAACATAGTATATTCTCAATAGAGTGAAATTGAGATAATACTAGTTATGATAACAAAAGCCTAGCTAACTTTTGTAGATAAAAATCTCAAATATAAATACTAGTTAAAGTATATCATTAGTTGAGATTGCAAGGCATCTTAATAACTGTGTTTAATTGCACATTTTCAATCTAGGATCGGATCACTGAAAAATAATAAATGGGGTAGTTGAGATACACCCTAAGTCCAATATTGCTTAGATCGACGTATCTAACTAAATTAGAGGTGTAACAGTAATACAATCTGGATATGGGATATTAAGGACTTCAAATCCAATAGTGGATATGTCTTTTATATTAAAGGTATAGTTGTATGTTCTTAATATAACTCAAAGTTAGAAACTTTGAATAAATCAAATAGGAAAGTCAATAGACTTCACCTAGAGGACATTTCAAAGTAAGTCTACACCTGTGCCACTAAAGAAAATGATATTGCTAACAATAAACAATTTTAGGGCACAAAGTATACAGTTGCTCTCACTTGAAGAAATCTCTACAGAGTGTAATATTTTTAAACACAACCTTGTAGCCACATATAAAATTGAGGGTTGTATTAGAGAGCAATTGTACAGATCATCGAGGAGAATGGGGTTTAAAATTGAAAGCTAACGAGTCATCTTAATGGAAACCCAACCTAGTTGACTGGAGATCCCGAGATCTAGGTTCAAAGGGACAACAGAAATTCTGAATGGCTCACTAGAAGCACTGGGAAGATATAAATCTTCTGCCCAATTCTATGATCAGACAATGCTACCTATAGCGAGGATTAGGATAAGCTAGGCTTTTAATGACTCTTATACCTTGAAAATTCAAATGGGGTATGGTATGATACTCTTAATAAGAAGTCACCTATATGAGTGTGAAGTGGGCCACTTCTATAAGAACTATAAAGGCTAAGTTTTCTGGGGCACTCATTGAATACCAGGACTTGTTCAGGGCCAAAATGAACACAACAATGAGAACCAACTTTGTGAGGAAAACTACTATGTGTTTGTTATTGTCTTGGTTTACACAAATGGCTAAACAGTTCAAGACATCGCGTTCACTGGTTAGCCAGTAAATTGGATAACAATATACTAGGGAAGGTTCAAAGCCAAAAACTACCTATCCTGATGCAATAACTTTCCGACTATACTCTTTCTAATGTCTGCATGATCATCTTTTGCATTTGAGCAACCAATTTCCATTCATGTAGGGTATTGTTAGAAATTGTGAATGAAAATTGTTTGATTAGTCATCAATAGATGCCTTGGAAT